TCTGTTTTTTTTTATATATTAAAAATTTTATTTTTTTATATAAAAATATATTTAATGCCTTAAAAATACGAAACGCATTATGACGCTTATTCTTCGCATTGACACGCCTAAACTTGTGATTCTTGATTCTCGACCTCGAGCTTCGCAACGCATTACGCATTTTAGAACACTAGTGACAACAACTCTCCAGAGCTCAATTTAATCACCTAAGTGAAACTAAAGAGTTCCTCATTTATGATGTAGCAGTAAATGATGCAAATAATTACTATCAACCAGAGTTTCTCAACACATTACTTCCAAATGGAGTTCCACCTCATCGATTATTGTTGAAAATTAATGGTCCGATAATGCTCTTGAGGAATCTAAATCCTTCAAATGGTCTCTATAATGGGTGTAGAATGGTTTGTCGTCAATTCAATGACATATTATCCATGCAGCGGTAACTATTGGACAACACCCTGACAAACACGTATTCATTCCGCGTATACCATTGAGTCCTACAAATGATGAAAAATATCCATTTAATTTCATATGAAAACAGTTTTGTGTTCGTCACTATTTTGCAATGACAATCAACAAGGTCCAATAACAGATAATACCTAATGTCAGAATATATCTCCCACAATCAGAAACGAACCCAATTCATGCTACGTGCAGGCAAATAGCTTTGGGCCACCCAGCCCACTTATCCTACATAAATAAAAGAGTCACTTTGGTGGTTACTGTTCATAAGCCAAGTCGAGCTAAATGGCTCGACTTGGCTCAGCTAAGCCGTTTGAGTTTTTTTTTTAACGTTTGATTCGGTATTTTATATTACAAATATTCGTTTTAAGCGGCTCGGCTCAGCTAAGCCGTTTAAGCCATTTTTTTAATGTTTGATTCGGTATTTTAAGTTGCAAATATTCGTCTTAAGCGATTTAAATTTTTTTGAAAATGTTAAAGTGCAGCCATAATAAATATATGATCGATAAATTTTAAATATCATTTTACATTAATTATGAAACGTAAAGTCGTAATTGTTTATGTTTCTTTTCAATCACAATCTCATTCAAATGTCCTTTTTTCGAATTTTATTTTCCTACAAATTTTCGTTTGATTCGATATTTTACAATGTGAATATTCATTTGGATCGATTTAAATTTTTTTAAAAAACTTAAAATGTGATAATAATAAATATATTGTCGATTAAGTTTAAATATAAAAATTATTTTAAATTATTAAACGTAAAATCATAATTGTTAATTTTTCATTTCTACCCCACCCCCAACCCCCATACTCACACCAGTTTCTTTCAATTTCATTTTTCTTCAGTTTTTACGGTTAAAATGGTAAATTTATGGCGTCAAAATGGATATTGAAGGAACTCAATAATTTTTAGAAGAATCCCCCTACGTCATGCAGCGCTGGTAGACAAACACCTTCTATGAAGTGGATTATTTTGATTTTTTTTTAAAATGGATTTAATGTACAGTATCATTAGAATATACTAAAAAGATATTCGACGAAATTTATGAAGTTAAGTGACCGTTTGCCATTTTTTTGCCTCTATGATGGAAGTTTTCGTTGTGCTGTGGTTTTATTACTGATAGAGACCCTTGATTTATCCTAAATTCCGCACTGTATTATCATTAATTAATTAGTCTTGACTACATACGTCTTTTATATGGTCTTGGTAAAGAAATTAAATACGGGTGCAACTGATACATGTCATTGGATTCAATGAACACGAGATGAATGAGACATAATGACTTACCTCAATAGGTTGAAAAATGAGGGTTATGTTGAACTTCATTATCTTTTTAGCGGGGAATCAACACCTAATCATTTATACCCTGTCTTTTTTTTTTAAAAGAGCATAGAGACCTTCAAACGCAAAGTCTAGAAAATAAGATTTGAATCAAATCTCTTAATATTATTTTTGTCACCTATCATCATTTCAAGTGTTTTAAATTTAATGTAACTAATGTTTAAGACAAATAAATTTTTGTTCATATTTACGCGATCATATAGCCAATTATACTATGGTCCTACTTATGGGTGGGCAAAACTCGACCGAACCCGTCCAAACCGAACCAACCCGACCGGGTTGAGTTGGGTTTTTTGTTGTTTTTACACATGTTTGGTGGATTGGCTGTGTAGGCGGGTTGGTTTGGGTCGGGTCAGGTCAGGTCAGGTTATGGGTTAACTCAAAAAAATCGAATAAACCCGCCCAACCAACCTGTCACTTCAAAAATAAATAAATAAATAAATAAAATGTCTAGAAAAGTAAAAGAAAGCTAAAAAGTATGAGCAGATAGTGTAATTGTAATTACCTATGTGTATTTTAGAGGAGAATCTTATTATTCTTCCCACAAGAAATGTAGTATAAATTTTTCATGTTATGTTAAATGCATTTTATTCTTTGTAGGCTCGACTAATGAGAATTGAATAAGATAATAGATAATTTTATTTATTTACTTACTTACTTACTATTTAATCTTGTCTACTCGAATTTAGTCTAACAAAAAATTAGATAACTTTAATTTTTGTTGACAAGTCATCCCAAACCGACCAACCCAACACAACCCAACCCAACCCAATCCGATCGATATTTGATTGGGTTGGGTTGGGTTTCAACCTTTACACGGGTAGGGTTGAGTTAAATTTTGATCAAACCAATCATGTTGGGTTGGGTTTAGTTTGGGTTGAGGCAAAAACTGACCCGACCCAACCCATGCCCACCCCTACTTGCATAGGGTCTTGGTAAAGAAATTAAATATGGTGCAACTGATACATGTAATTGAAGATTCTATGAGCACGAGATGAATGAGATATAATAACTTACCTTAATAGGTTGAAAAAAGAGGGTTATGTTGAACTTCATTATCTCTTTAGCAGTGCATCAACACTTAATCATCTATACCCTGTCTTTTTTTAAAAAGAATAGAGAGATTTTCAAATGCAAAGTCTAAAAATTAAGGGTGTATTTAAACCCCCATTATTTTGGAAGAATGTATTTTGGAATAGTAGATTGATGAAAAATGTGTGTTTGAAAAAGAAGGAAAAGTTATTGATGTAATGAAAAATATTATTTTATTGAAAAATGTGTGGTTGAAAATGAATAGAAAAATGAAAATGATAATATTAATGTGGCCCAAATA